CTCCTCCTCCTCCTCCTCTGAGCCATTTCTGTCAGAGCTCTCTCAGCCCCACCCACCTCGCAGCCGGTGTCTGTTGTGGGGAGGAGAAGGGAAAGGAAATTGTAAGCTGCTCTGAGACTCCTTCGGGTAGTGAAGGGCCATGGGGTATAAACCCAATCATCTCCTCCTCCTCTTGTTCTTCTTCCTCTTCTTCTCTCCAAGCTCACCCTTTCCAGGCTCCCTTCAAATTTCCAGAAATGTCCACACCTGGAGTTGAGAATCCTAGCTGCAACCTCTCTGTCCAACAAAGAAATTCGCTTTTCTTTCTTTGATGGCTCTGACAAAGTGAGCCCTGCCTCACGAACGCTTGTGCCACAATCAATTCATCAGGCGGCTGATTGAGAACACAAATTCTCCCATTAGTATGATTCTCCTCTGATTTAGATCTGCACATTCTGTGCAGAACTCCCTGTCGGGAAACCTCCCTGGGTAGAGACAGTGTTCCAGGTTGGGCCCTTGTTCTGATTCAGCCGGCCCTTCTTCAGCCACTCGCAAGTGAGACCTTTTCTGAGCAGGCACATGAAATAACTTGGCCATGGGGACTTCCGGTTGATGGTGGCACGCTCACGGACTCACCTCCCGGACCTCCCGGGGGTGTCTCCGTGCTCTGGCGGATGGAGGGGGTGAGCTGGCTCGTAAACCCCCCCCCCCCAGAAAAAAGAAGAGGACGATAAGTCCAGTGGAGAGCTGGAAACTGGTTCGTCTGGTGAGGACTCTTTGTCTGAGCAGGGGGCATCCGCCCCGAAAAGTTCCTACAAACTGCGGAAGAGAGAGAAGAAGAAGTAAAGGCTGAAGGACTCTGAATTGTGCCTTTGAGAACTTTGGTTCTAGGGGATGATGGGGGGCACTGTTATTGGGCAATTAAATGTAACTGGGGATGGTTAAAAGATTGACACAGTTCATAAGAAGTACAAAGATGAAAAGTCTGAATGAAGTATAAAAAGCTAGCTGGAGATCTCCTCTCTTGGGTTTTTAGTTAGTAGTGGGTTCTTTACTTTCTCCCTTATATGTAGCTTTCCCTTTCCCTTTTTTCTGTTCTAGTTTTTGTAGTGTTTAAAAAATCAATAGAAATAACTTGGCCATATTCTCCGTTTTCCTCCCGCCAGTACTTGCGTTGGCCTCTGGCCCAGAGCTCGGCAGACTGACCTTTTTAGGTCTAGTAGGAATCATCGATCCTCCGAGGAACGGAGTGAAGGAAGCGGTTCAGGCCCTCATCGAGTCTGGCATCTCGGTGAAAATGATAACAGGAGATGCTTTGGAAACAGCCTGGGCTATTGGTGAGCAAACTGAATTCCCCCCGCAAGTATGAGCCACTGTCTTTTGAGGCTGGTCGCTGAAGGGCTGTACTACCCTGAGCATAATGCCGAAGCTTTTGGCTATTCTTTCCCCTTCCTGGACACTTTTGTATTTCATAGAAAGGTGATTGAAGTGGGGGCATCAGGAATTTGTAAGGACCCACTGTTCGATCCCAAAATAAGGAACATATTGAGGGACCATCAGAGCATGGCACATTAACAGCAATTTATCCCAGTACACCAGGGGTCCACAACGTGGTATCCACCAAGTGTTTTTTTAGAGAGTGGGCAGGTACAGGTGGTCCTTTTGCCCAGCAAGGCTTCTGACTGGCCACTGGAGATTTGATTGGCTGTGCAGACTTTTAAAGATGTTGCTTTGGCAGCAGCTGCCGCCTCAGCACAAAGATCATCACTCTGTGACTGAAGGTAAACTGCAGTGGCCATTTTGTGGCTGGCTCCGCCTCTTGAACCAGCCATTTTGTTGCAGCTGTTTTGGGGCTGCAATAGGGTTGTGTATTCGGTAAAGCCAAACTGGAAAAAAAACCAAAAAAACTTTTTTGGCATTTTTCGGGTATTCGGCATACCAAATCAGATCCCCTGAGCTGATTCGACTGCCAAATATTGAATGCTGAAAAAAACGGTTTTGGCTTTTTCCAGGAGAAAGCTCACACCAATGTCACAACCCGGAAGTGATGTGACGACGCCGGGCACGCTGGGGACGGGGCCACGACCATCAGAGGGAAAACCAAAGAGTTTTCCCTCCGATGGTCGTGGCCCCGCCCCCAGCATGCCCGGCATCATCACATCACTTCCTAGTGACGCACATGTCGGTGTGGGGTTCCCCCCAGGGCCAGATCCACCGGCGGCGGGGAACGGGCCTCTGGGGCGGGGGTTTCCCCGCCCCCCGGGGGGATTTGGCAAGCCTATTCTGGATTGGCCTGTGTCTGCCATGTGACGATCAACTAACACAATGTTTTCCCCACAGCCCAGAAGATCGGCCTTTGCAATGGAAAGATGAAAGCCATGTCTGGGGAGGAACTGGAGACTATCACAGAGTCCGCGTTATCATCCACAGTCAAAAATGTAATGGGATTGGAAGGGGTTCCAAACACATGGTTTGTGATTGTCCTAGAAACCCCCAGTGGCTTCACCTATGCCTGCTTTTTTCTCTCTCCCCACCATACAGGTTTCCATCTTCTTCCGAACGAGCCCCAAACACAAACTTAAAATCATAAAGGTATCGGCAGACCCCAAATTAGCAGCGCCCTCGTCTCTCTTCTTTTCCCTGAGCAACTAGACCTGACGCTTCTCCGGGCGGTCCCGCCTTTGCTCCTGATTTGACCAATTGCTGTAATTAGACTTTTGCTGTAATGATTGTTTCTCTTTCTCACAGCACCTTCTGGGAACAGCTGTCTGCTAGTCCTTTGCTGTGTCTAATGAAGTAGGGGGGAAGACACCCTGCCACTGCTTTTAAATAGTGGAAGACCCAACAATGGGGAGTGTATCCCTCGCTTAGGGTAGCCGTGGTTATCTTCCACATTCCTGTCTTGGTGGCTGCTCTTTTCATTAGCTGGAAGTTGCACAACTGGTGGTCCAACATGGCACTATGATCTGGTGATTTGCCTCTTTGCCCATGTTTTATAATGTGGGTGGTGGTCCGATGCAATGTTCCCTCTAAGCTGAGTTGCTGTGAGCTAGCTCACAATCTTTTAGCCGCCAGCTCACACATTTTTCTCTTAGCTCAGGAAGGGTGGCTCCAAATCACTCGCTCACAACTTTAATGCCAGAAGCTCACAAAGCAGAATTTTTGCTCACAAGACTCCACAGCTTAGAGGGAGCATCGAGTGATCCTGCGTAAGACCCCTACTCCCGGTTTGCTGATCTGGGACATTTCTGTCATTGATTGGGCTTGAACCTACCGATCATATTTGCATGACAAGATATCTTTAAATGAAAACAAATGGCACAGGCCGAAAAAGAAAAAAAAAATCTAATAAAAGCTTCTTTCTGCACCGATTGTAGTTCCCTCCCCCCCAAAAAATTGTTTTTTTGTTGGAATTCTTAGTATTCACTGCTTCTGAAAGCCCAAAACTGCAGTGGTTAGTATCGCTAAATCAGGGGTCTCAAACAGCAGAGGATAGGACTCACAATAATGGGTTTAAATTAAGGGTGGGAAGGTACCGGCTGGATATTAGGAAAAACTTTTTGACAGTCAGTTGCGCAACGGTGGAATCAGCTGCCTGGGGAGGTGGTGAGCTCCCCCTCCCTGGCAGTCTTTAAGCAGCAGCTGGACAAATACTTGTCAAGGGTGCTCTAGGCCGAGCCTGCACTGAGCAGGGGGTTGGACTAGATGGCCTCTATGATACCTTCCACCTCTATGGTTCTATGATTGCCTGCCAGCACCATGTTGCCTGCCAGGGGGTTGCCTGCCAGCACCTTTCTTGGTGCCCCCCAAGTGTTTTTTAGAAGGTGGGTGGAGCCAGCATGGGCTCTTGCCCAGCAGGACTTCTGATTGGTCACTGAAGATCTAATTGGCTACTCAGATTAAAATAATGTTTTGGTGGCAGCTACCATTGTGTTGGCTTTATTCTCTCACTCCTCTTTCCCAGTACATTTTTAATGACCCCTCTTCAGTCCTACACTTGGGCTTCATCTATGCATTTGGCTCCTCCCCCTGTGGCAGCCATTTTGGGGTCACGCCCACCCTCCCGTGCCACAGTTCCAAAGGCCCCCAAAGGCTCAGATAGGTTGGGGACCCCTGATTTAAACTGTCCCCGTGTACCATGAGCAACATTTTATGTTGGTAGAGTTAAGGTGTCTCTACCAGGGATGTGCACTTCTCTTGCTGTGAAACATCACTGGCAGCGGCACTTATTTTTAGAGAACAAATGCTGACGTCTGCAAAAGGAAGTATAATGACATTAATGCTTGCAACGGGCGTTTCCACAGGCTTTGCAAAAGGCAGGTGCCATTGTGGGAATGACAGGAGATGGGGTGAACGACGCCGTGGCTCTGAAATCCGCCGATATCGGGATTGCGATGGGAAGAGCCGGGACAGACGTCAGCAAAGAAGCCGCCAACATGATCCTTGTGGATGACGACTTCTCGACAATCAGGTGGGCTGAACTCGAAAGGGTTCTAAGACTCACTGAGCCCAGTGCTTTATACCGTGCGTGATGTTCCCGATGCGCCATCTCGCATACGGAGAAGCATTACGCCCTGTGACTTCTCCACTCAGTTCCATAGGAAGTGACTTTTAATGGCTTTTTAAAGGCTTGTTTCTATACCATGGCTTTTAACAACTAGATAACTAGAGCTCAAGGGCATCCGATAAAGCTGACGGGCAGTAGATAATCAGGACAGACCAAAGGAAATATTTCTTCATGCAGGAAGTAATTAAAATCTGGAAATTGCTGCCAGAGGATATAGTGATAGCCACAGGCATAGATGGGTTTGTTTGTTTGTTTATTCCATTCACACCCCTGCCCTCCCCGCGAACAGGCTCAGGGCGGCTTACATTGGTCGGTAAAGGTAAAGGTTCCCTTGCTCGAAAGCCAGTCGAGTCTGACTCTAGGGTTGCGGTGCTCATCTCCATTTCAAAGCCGAAGAGCCAGCGCTGTCCGAAGACGTTTCCGTGGTCATGTGGTCAGCATGACTAAACACCAAGGCACACGGAACGCTGTTACCTTCCCACCGAAGCAATACCTATTTATCTACTTGCAATTTCTTGCTTTCAAACTGCTAGGTTGGCAGGAGCTCGAACTAGAGACGGGAGCTCACTCCGTCATGCAGCACACTCGGGTCTCGAACTGCTGAACTACCGACCTTCCACAGCCTGCAGTTCAGCGTCTTAACCACTTGAGCCACCGCAGCTCCTACATTGGTCGGTACCCAGTACCATAAAACCATATACAAAAGTTAAAACATTTTAAACATTTAAAACAATCAAATACTCAAAGTGCTAGTGATAGTAATCGTCTTTCGGTGATTAAGATGGCATACGCTATAGTATACAAGCAACTGTTTCCAAGTCAGTGCTCTTTCAGCATCGCGCAATGGAATGGCTCAATCTCCAGGCTGGGGCCAGCCCATAACCACAGATGTTGGTGGTAGTGGTGTGGCGGCTCCTCATTGAAAGCCTGGTGGAAGAGCTCCATCTTGCAGGCCCTGCGGAACTGTAAAAGATCCCGCCGGGCCCTGATCTCTTCTGGGAGCTCATTCCACCAGTATGGAGCCGCCACTGAGAAGGCCCTGGCGAATTTAAATTTTAAAGGGACTGTAGAAGGTCCCGCTGGGCCCTGATCTCTTCTGGGAGCTCATTCCACCAGTATGGAGCCGCCACTGAGAAGGCCCTGGCGAATTTAAATTTTAAAGGGGAATTCGCTTCATGGAGGAGAGGTCTATCAGTGGCACCTAGCCATGGTGGCTAAGGGGAACCTCCACGTTCAGGGGCAGTAAGCCTCTTTTGCCAGGAGGCAACATCAGAGGAAGGCCTTTAAGCCCTGTTGTTGGCCCTCCAGAGGAATTGGTAGGCCACTGTGCGAGAAAAGATGCCGCTGGTCTGATCTAGCAGGGATCCCCTCATGTTCTTATATTCTTGTTAACTCACCTCTAGCAGGAGCCAGCGTAGAAATGTTCTAAATGAATAAAGCTCTTCCAGTGTGCATTCCTTTCCACCTACATACCAGCTTCCTCCACCAACATGAATGGAGCAACATATAAAAGGGGTGCATGAATGTCTCTTGATTGGGCTGATAAAACCTGTAATGACAAACAGTGTCCAAATGATCCACTGTCTTAACTGTGAAATTCAGGAAGCTGCACAGGTGACACCGAGGCTTCTGGTAGTTCTGTCTCTGGTGGTACCTATCCCCCCCACCTCTCTCCCAGGAGAGCCAGTGTGGTGTTGTGGTTAGGAGCATGGACTCTAATCTGGGAGAACCAGGTTCGATTCCCCACTCCTCCACATGCAGCCGCTGGTGTGAGCTCGGGTCAGTCACAAGTTCTCTCAGAGCTGTTCTCTCATGAGCAGTCTTCAAGAGAGCTCTCTCAGCCCCACCGACCTCACAGGGTGTCTGTTGGGGGGGAGGGGAGGGAAAAGGAGACTGTAAGCCGCTCTGGGACTCCAAGTGAAGGGCTGGATATGAATCCAATCTCTCTTCTTCTCTTCCTCCAGTTATGAATACCTGGGGAAAGAGAGGCTGGCTATACAGTTGTAGAACAAGTGCTGTGTAGAGCATGGGTGTATGAAGAAAGTGCCGTGCAGATTGTGTTGGCAGGCTGCATCTGGCTCTTACCCACAGAAGACAGGTGTCTGGACTAAACTTTAACTGTTAACGCCTTATCAGATGCTACGGTTTCACCGCATGCCACACTCCAGATCACAGTGGCTATTCTAGGGGCCCAGTTCAGAGTGCACAAAACTGTCCTTTCCAGGGCTATTTTTGGGCAGGAACGCACAGGAATGGAGTTCCGGCTGGCTCCCAAGTTGGCCACGCCCAGCAGGAACTCATTAGCATAATAGGCCACACCCAACAGCAGGAACTCATTAGGATTGGCTACATTAGGGGTGTGTGGCCTAACATGCAAAGGAGTTCCTGCTACAAAAAAAGGCCCTGGGTTTTGACAACAAACAAGGCATACAGAATAAGAAGCAAAAGGTCAGTGTGGCTGGATAACCACACTTCTGGTAACATTGGGGTGTGGCCTAATGTGCTAATGAGCTGTGCTGTCAGGGGAGTGGCCCAATATGCTAATGAGTTCCTGTTGTTGGGTGTGGCCTATTATGCTAATGATTTCCTGCTGGGCTTTTTCTACAAAAAGAGCCCTGGTCCTTTCCACTGAACAGGCTGGAGAAGCAACACATAGGGTTGCCAAGTCCAGGTTGGGAAATTCCTTGAGATTTCAGGGCTGAGTTTGGGAAGGGGGGGGAGAGAGCTCGGTAAGGATGTGATGTCATAGAGTCCGCCCTCTGAAGCAGCCATTTCCTCCTGGGGAACTGATCTCTGTCACCTGGAGATGAGCTGTAATTCTGGGAGATCTTTAGAGCCCACCAGAAGTTCGGCAACCATAACCAAGAGCTTCATTGCAAGGAACTTCTTCCTTGAAACAAATTCTTTTTTTCCCTTTCCTTCAAAACCATGCAGAAGTGCCAGTACCTTCCACTTCCATGAAAATCCAGCACCCGTCCTCTCAGGGCCGGACCCAGCTTATTTTGCACCCTAGGCGAGGATCCCTTCTGGCGCCCCCCCCCCCAGTGCGCCCATCAATTTCCAAAAATAAATGCATTTTAGGAAGAATGAAAAACACAAATGATCAAGAAACTCCCAGAGTATGGGGCTGGGTTCAGTTTGGCGCCCCTAAGGGCCGTCCTGCTCTAGGAGACTGCCTAATTCGCCTAGTGAGTGAGCCGGCCCTGCGTCCTCTGATAATAGGTTCATATAAACTTAGGAAGCTGCCCTATACTAAACTGGATCATTAGTTTCTCTAGCTCTTCATTATCTGTTATGATCGGTGGCAGCTTTCTCATGTCTTGGGCACATGAAGGTCCTTTGTACCTTGATGCTTGATAGAAACAGAAATATCTACAAGATAGATAGATAGATAGATGATTGATAGATAGATGATTGATAGATAGATGATTGATAGATGATTGATGATAGATAGATGATTGATGATAGATAGATGATTGATGATAGATAGATGATGGATAGAGGGATAGAGGGATAGAGGGATAGAGGATAGAGGATAGATGGATGGATGGATGGATGGATGGATGGATGGATGGATGGATGGATGGATGGATGGATGGATGGATGGATGGATGGATGGATGGATGGATGGATGGATGGATGGATGGATGGATGGATGGATGGATGGATGGATGGATGGATGGATGGATGGATGGATGGAGGGGGCCACAGTGGCTCAGAGGTTAAGACGCTGAGTTGCAGACTGGAAGGTCGGTAGTTCAGCAGTTCGAGACCCGAGTGTGCCGCGTGACGGAGTGAGCTCCCGTCTCTGGCACCAGCTCCTGCCAACCTAGCAGTTCGAAAGCAAGAAATTGCAAGTAGATAAATAGGTACTGCTTTGGTGGGAAGGTAACAGCGTTCCATGCACCTCAGTGTTTAGTCATGCTGGCCACAACACCACAGGAAAAGTCTTTGGACAGCGCTGGCTCTTTGGCTTGGAAACGGAGATGAGCACCACCACCTAGAGTCAGATTCGACTAGATAGATAGATAGATAGATAGATAGATAGATAGATAGATAGATAGATAGATAGATAGATAATATAAAATGTCACTTTTTTCCCAACAGCAATGCAATCGAGGAAGGGAAAGGAATATTCTACAACATTAAAAATTTCGTCCGTTTCCAGCTCAGCACGTAAGTAGCCGTGGGGCTTGACCCATCGGAATGAGCTGATTTCAGGCCCACAGAATACTCACAAACATTTTCTCTTTCGCGTTCTCGGCAGGAGCATCTCGGCGCTGAGCTTAATTACCCTGTCGACAGTCTTCAATTTGCCCAATCCACTCAATGCTATGCAGATCTTATGGATCAATATTATAATGGATGGGCCTCCGGCACAGAGGTGAGGACATGAAGGGGAGGGATCGGAGTCCAGGGTGGGTGGGTGGGTGGGTGGGAGATCGGCATCTGAAGCCTTTCTAATCCCATCACCCCCTTTCGAAAAAGAAAATACGAGACCTTGATTTCAAACTCCTGTTTTTGCTGTTGTTGGTTGGCAAAAGCAACATCCTTCGGCCAAGAACCCGCTTCTGTTTCAGAGGCAGAGGCATCTCCAAAACTAGATATTTTCCAGTTCAGTTTTAACCCACATCCTTCAGCCAAGAACCCGCTTCTGTTTCAGAGGCCGATTCGGCATCTCCAAAAGTGGGTATTTTCCAGTTCAGTTTTAACCCACATCCTTCGGCCAAGAACCCGCTTCTGTTTCAGAGGCCGATACGGCATCTCCAAAAGTAGATATTTTCCAGTCCAGTTTTAACCCACCTCCTTCGGCCAAGAACCCGCTTCTGTTTCAGAGGTCGATTCGGCATCTCCAAAAGTGGATATTTTCCAGTTCAGTTTTAACCCACATCCTTCAGCCAAGAACCCGCTTCTGTTTCAGAGGCAGATACGGCCTCTCCAAAAGTGGGTATTTTCCAGTTCAGTTTTAACCCACATCCTTCAGCCAAGAACCCGCTTCTGTTTCAGAGGCAGATACGGCCTCTCCAAAAGTGGGTATTTTCCAGTTCAGTTTTAACCCACATCCTTCAGCCAAGAACCCGCTTCTGTTTCAGAGGCAGATACGGCCTCTCCAAAAGTGGGTATTTTCCAGTTCAGTTTTAACCCACATCCTTCAGCCAAGAACCCGCTTCTGTTTCAGAGGCAGATACGGCCTCTCCAAAAGTGGGTATTTTCCAGTTCAGTTTTACTGAAACGAGAGGAGTTTGCCTGTCTTTTCAAGTTGAACACTGTCTGTTTGAACTTCCTCCCCTTCTCCAGGATTAAGAGGACATTCTTCGTAGGGCGGGAAATGAGATGACTTGAACTTAGTGAAGCCATCCTCCAGGTGGAACCTGGAACTCTCCTGGAATTGCAAGGGATCTCCACAGGGCTTTTTTGGTAGAAAAAGCCCAGCAGAAACTCATTAGCATAATAGGCCACACCCAACAACAGGAACTCATTAGCATATTGGGCCACACCCCTGATAGCACAGCTCATTGGCATATTAGGCCACACCCCCATGTTACCAGAAGTGTGGTCATCCAGCCACACCCACTTTTTGCTTCTTATTCTGTTTACCTTGTTTGTTGTCCAAACCCAGGGCTTTTTTGTAGCAGGAATCCCTTTGCATGTTAGGCCACACACCCCTAATGTAGCCAATCCTAATGAGTTTCTGCTGTTGGGTGTGGCCTATTATGCTAATGAGTTCCTGCTGGGCGTGGCCAACTTGGGAGCCAGCCAGAACTCCGTTCCTGTGCGTTCCTGCCCAAAAATAGCTGCCCAAAAATAGCCCTTGATCTCCAGACCGCGGAGACCCGTTCCCCTGGAGGAAATGGCAGCTCCGAAAGGTGGACTCTGTTGCATTACATGTCTGCTAAGCTCCCTCCCTCCCCAGACTCCACCCTCCTGAGGCCCCACCCCTAAATCTCCAGGAATTTCCCAAGCTGGAGTTGGCAACCTTACTTGAACCTCACCATTGGACTCTTAGATTTTGTTTTAACGCAGCCCTGGCGGGCAGAATCACTGTCCCGTGGGACGTGGCATTCACACAGTGACACATTCCGACATTGCTGCTACCTGTACGAAGCAACTCTGTGGTGTACAAAGTCCCACAGAAGGGTGCTTTGGCCATCTATTGCCCCAGATTTCCTGTGGCTTCAGTGACTTCATTTATTTAATTTCCTCTTCATTCGCTTAACTTATTTACCTTGCTCTCCAATGGGGGCTCAAAGTGGCTTACGGTCACTCTCCTCCGTTTTAGCCTCACAACGACCCTGTGAGGTAGGTTAGGCTGAGAGTGTGTGATTGGCCCAAGGTCACCCAACAAGCTTCCATGGCAGAGTGGGAATTCAAACCTGGGAAAATAAAACATTCCATAATCAATTTTTTTCTTTTCTTTTCTTTTTTCAATTTTTCCAATTTTTCAGGAAAAACAAAAACAAAAAAGGCTTCAGGGAAAAAACGGGGAAAAAACCGGGGTTTTTTCCGAATTTTTCTGGGTTTTTTTCCGGGCCTTCACATCTCTAGGCTTCAGTTACTTCATTTATTTAATTTCCTCTTCATTCGCTTAACTTATTTACCTTGCTCTCCAATGGGGGCTCAAAGTGGCTTACGGTCACTCTCCTCCGTTTTAGCCTCACAACGACCCTGTGAGGTAGGTTAGGCTGAGAGTGTGTGATTGGCCCAAGGTCACCCAACAAGCTTCCATGGCAGAGTGGGAATTCAAACCTGGGTTTCTCAGATCCTAGTTCAACACTACACCACGGTGGTTCTCACGTAGTGAGGGGTACCTCTCTAGTCAGGGGTACCCTTTTAGGAGTCAGTTTGGTGTACTGGTTAAGTTTGTGGACTCTAATCTGGGAGAACCGGGTTTGATTCTCCACTCCTCCACTGGCAGCTGCTGGCGTGACCTTGGGCACGCCGTAGTTCTGATAAGAGCTGTTCTTGAAAAAGAGCCGTTTCTGTCAGAGCTCTCTCAGCCCCACCTACCTCACAGGGTGTCTGTTGTGGGGAGGGGAAGGGAAAGGAGTTTGTAAGCCGCTCTGAGACTCCTTTTGGTAGTGAAGGGCAGGGTATACATCCAATCTCTTCTTCTCTAGTCCCCTGCACTCCTACCTGCCTCCCCTGGTGATAGGGGGCAATAATATTGTGAAATCTGTTTGATTGGGCTGTACATGATTGGCTGGTGCTCCCCTGGAGAGTTCCACACTCAGTGCAGGACTTGCGTATCTTACTTATCCTGCACAAAGCCATTACCAAATGCAAGCATTTCCCAGCAACTTCCATAAAGGTGTCATAATTCGTAGATTGGTCTTCAGGAACAACAGCAAAACAAAAGGAGTTTTAAAAAGCATTAGAACAGACCTTGGAACAAGTCACTGACGGAAAAGGTGTGGTGCCGTGTGATTTTCTCACGCATGCCATTGTCTAGCACAAATCTGGACTGACGACGTCTTATTTATTTACTTCATTTGTACCTTGCCTTTCTCCTCCTCCGGGACCCACGGCAGCTTACAGCATCCTTCTGTCCTCCATTTTATCCTCACAACAACCCTGTGAAGTAGGTTAGACTGAGGAGGGGGTGACTGGCCCAAGGTCACCCAGCAAGCTTCCATGGCACGAGTGGGGATTCGAACCTGGGTCTCCCAGATACTAATCCGAATACTCTTACCCACCACACCACACGTGGCTCTCAATGCTTATTCATCTGCGCTAACAAAACAACATGCCTTTCTCTGGAAACAGTTTGGGTGTCGAGCCAGTTGACAAAGATGCTATCAAACATCCTCCCAGGAGCGTCACGGACACGATTCTCAGCAGGTCCCTGGTCCTAAAGATCTTGCTGTCGGCCGCCGTCATCATCAGCGGAACCCTCTTCGTGTTTTGGAAAGAGGTGAGGGAGAGAGATTGACTTGAGGCACCTTAGTCAAGAGAACACTTTAGAGCAGTCTTCTGAAAGGTCCTTTGCTGTTGTTCAGTGATACAATCCAGATGTTTTCAAAACTGCTCTAAGGACCATGTTCAGGGCATTGCATAGTCAACCTGGGGTTGGGGGAGGCTGATAGAGGAACCGCTCTAACTGCCAGGAAGCTCTTCCTAATGTGTAGCGGACAACTCTTCTGATTTAATTTTAACCCATTGGTTCTGGCCCTACTTTCTGGGGCAATGGAAAACAACTCCTCACCATCCTCTAGATGACAACCCTGCAAGTACTTGAAGATGGTGATCACGACACCTCTCACTCGTCTCCTCTCCAGGCTAAACATACCCAGCTCCTTCAACCTTTCCTCACCTTTCTTTCTCCCTCACCTGCCACCCTGCAGTCAGTATTAAGAACGTAAGAACATAAGAGACGCCAATGTTGGATCAGGCCAAAGGCCCATCCAGTCCAACACTCTGTCACACAGTGGCCAAAAATACCAGGTGCCATCAGGAGGTCCACCAGTGGAGCCAGGACATTAGAAGCCCTCCCACTGTTGGCCCCCCCAAGCA